AACACAAGGTTCCCTTCCGCAACTGCAAGGTGTGGGTCTCATAATTCAGATGAGCCCCATACTGATCAAGGGTAGCGGACCCTAAGATAAACGTGGCTGCATCAGTAAACTTAGGCAGCACATACGGACGGACATTTAGGCGCAAAGGGCCCAAGGATATACGAAGGGAAACTTGACCCAAAATGACCTGCTTACCCCCGTCAGCAAGGGTGACAGATGACCACGATGTCGGTTGAGGTTTCAGTCCGAGTTGCTCAACGATGGACGCAGAAATGAAGTCGTCGCTGGCCCCAGAGTCGGCCATGGCAGTTAAAGAATGTCCAGCGACACGAATGCCAACTAATGGGACTCTGGGCCCTGTTGACGCAGCAACTTTTGCACACAGGACTGAAACATGGGGCTCCGTGTCAAGGTGCCTCAGGACAAGAGGGGGATCGTACCAAACGTCAGCAGTATACGGCAGACCTGGAAGGGAAACAAGTTGACCCGTCATGTCTACACCGTTGAAAAGCTTGCTACCAGCACGAAACTGAAGAACCCGACTCATCCCTAGCAGCAAGGAGGCAGCCCTTGGGGATACATGTGCTGGTAACAGTAGACAGGCAGCGGTGTCCGGTCGCTGACGTTTGCAAATACGATAGTAAGCCAGCTGAGACTGAAGTTCCTTGAAAGAGGAAGGGGAAATCCAAACGGTATGCCCACCCAAGTTACTAGAGGTTAGACGCCGTGGAATAGCAAACAGATTACAGTGCTCGTCAAAACCAGGACGAGCAGTACGAGCGTCAAACGAAAAACGCCGTCCAACGGCCTTCTCAACTTGGTTTAAAACGGCCGGTAAAACAGCACGGACAGCACGTCCAACCGGGCAGATAACGGGCACCGTTCGGGTTTGTAACCCAGGGAGTGCTTCCCTAACACTGTCCTGGGCAACCCCCTATTTTTCCCCGTTCCTAGCTCTCTTCTCTGACAGCAACGGGCACTCTGCTACTAGGTGCTTATCCTCCCCACAGCGGAGGCAACGGCTATTTTTCCGGCGGTACTCGTACTCCGCCCGAGTGCAGTAAAACTTATTCATCCATTCGGCCGGATTTGAATCCCGGCCACGCTTGCCTAGCACCGTCGCCCCTGTTCCCGCGGCAGCGGCCCTGGGCCGACCCTTGTCCCTATGCTTGCCACCCCGACCCCTGCGCCCACGGTTCGACTCACCAGCACCGGAGGCCTGGCGAGCTGTATTTCGCCCAGCGGCAACAGTAGCAGCCCGAGGCCTGACCTCCGGTGCCGGGAGTCCCCGTCGTCAGTGATGATGGGCGCGGGATCCTGCACAGCGGTGGAA